GCAAGTTAACCACACTACCCGAACAACGGCGCGCGCGAAGGAACCACCGACAGCTTCGGCCCACAGCCGGATGCCACCGCCYGCCCAAAACGTACCGACAGCGAAGTGCACAGCCTCATCTCTCCATCGAGAAACGCGGGTGAAGAGAGAAACGAATGCACCACGCTTCTAACACGCCCGGACGGACGGAAAACCTCCACCTGTGAACGGGCGCGCAAAAGGAACACCACCCCTCTCCCCCTTGGGTCCACATCCGCGGGTTGCCGCGGGCACCACTGACAACACTCGACGCAGGCGAAACCCAGGAGACAGCGGACAGTAGCCTTCGAAGCCCACAACCTAAACGCAGCGGAACCATGACGCAACGCGATCCGTCACGGTGTGCAGCATACCGAGACCACAGGATGGGGGACACGACGGGCGCAAGCGCGCATTCCAAAAAGTCGGGCGGATGACGGGCCCAGCCTCGCGACGCCGTCGGAGGCTGCATCACGCATCCCACAAGTCTCCGCCCTCGCATATGGTAAGCAGCGCGTGCATGGCCGAGGTCACCCGCGCCACCGCTCAATGGCGCGGCTCGGATGGCGAAGAGCGCAGAGCGTCCTCACCAAGTTGTGACACCCCCTCAACACAAACKGAACGCGCCGTTGTGAGTGCGGACACGAAGACGACACCACAACAGAGCTGCAACAGCTCTCCCCGTAACCTACGGGATGATGGTGCCGAAGCTGAGAGCTGGTGACGGGCACCTCCGCCTCCACACCCTGCAAACRACCGCCAACCGGACCGCCGTCGGCGATCAGGCGCCAATCAGGCAAGACGATGAGCGAGGGTGAACGCAACGATCCACAACCCGGCACCACGGCATAGGACAGCCCCGACAGCCGGGACTGCGGCCAACGACGACCGAGCTGTCGTGAAGTAAGCCCTCCGAGAGAGACGACCATGGACCTGAACGGCGCCGCAAAAACGTTCGCTCGACCACCAAAGCACGACTCGCCCGTCCCTCGCAAACTGGAAACCACCCAAAGTGTGTGCAGAGAGTCACTCATAACTGGAGTACAAGGTCCCAAAACCCACGCCCGGAAYGTCGCCTTCGTCGACTGCAAGGGGGCTGCTAAGTACGCAGGCCCCTATAAGAGTGCAAACGGGACTCCGAACCGCCAACCACCGACTGTTTGGCACATCCGGAGGGTGCTCACTGAGCCATCCGCCGAGGGACCTGCACATGTCCCTTTCCAG